CCAAATGTATGTTCTGACGGGTGACTCCCCATGATGCCGCTTTGGGTGCTAATTATTTGTTCCAACAAACACACACGCGAGCCTCTGAAGATGAAGCAGAGAGCTACATGAAAGCATCAAGAACCATTGAGATGAGGGGGAGGACCGCGGACAAGTTCAATAGCCCTCTGTGCTGCGGCCCCGTTCATGAGCTGCATCTCTTTTTAGAAAACAGATCTCGTTACAGCGGTAAGATTCTGACTCAAACAATGTGCTATTATTATTGAGCACTGATTCAAGCTCCACCTTAATCAGTCACAACACACACTATTCAATATCTTCAAGCAGCACTGCATCAAACATAATGCAGCCTCATTATATGCTGATTGTGAAGCAGCATCTTGGTGTATTAATGGGGGGTGTGAAGGTGGATGCAGGCGTAGTGGCCCCCATGGTGCTTTACACACGCCGACAGGCAACGCGGAAATTTGCTTATGTGGTGATTTCTAATTTAACAGTGCAATGAACACATGACAAATAACAATAAGCTAACATAATATTGAAGTACACAACAGAATGTTATCATGTTGTAACCGTTACTCCATATAAAATGATTGCTGCGTGCAAACTATCACGTTAGATTTGTAGTTGTATTTGACCTTCCAGGAGTTTGCGTGGTCATGCAATGTTAGTCATTCAGACAAGCACTGGACCTGTCATAGCATAGCAAGGTGATTTTAACAGTCCGGTGAGTGTGTGTGTGTGTGTGTCTTTGCCGCTCACTGGCAGATTTACACCCCGGCTCCAGCAGCTTTTCATTTGTATAACTCTCTCGGTGGAGGTTGCCGCTTGCCAGAGCACGCTCTGTCCAGCCTGCTACCTCGTTTCCTTCCCGCTGGGAAACGTAGACTCCCATCTCTGTTCCTCTTTGACTGTCATCCAGCTGCACGGTCGCCTACCTCCATATTTACAAAAGCTGGTAAAACCGGTAGCCTCACTGATGATAATTATGGCAGAGGGGACGGTGTTTGTTTCATGGTTTGACAGACTCCAATGTTTTGGTAAGACTGCTGTGTAACGGGCTTTTGGCTCGCAGGGGAGGACAGACATTTACCACAAGTGACTTGATTAGTCATGTCCAAAACGGGGGCCGGGGCTTGCATTGTGCTCATGCTGCTTCGCCTGCATTGGACTGGCACCAGAATATATATATTAGATTTTCGGGCCAAAGGGTCACTGCCGGGTCGGTGGACGTCTTAAAACTGTCTTGACTGAACACACAGCTGTTTGTACTACATGCCTCTGATTGAGCTGAGACCTGTCCTCGTTGTCCTCACATCCAGAGACACTGTAGTTAGTGTTAGCATTAAGTTCGCTAACTACTTAACATCACGTGTCTTTATGTATGCCAAATAACACTAATCCTGCTAATAACACTGAAACACAGCCAAGAGTGTTCTTGACGTATCTTTATTACTGTTTTATTTGAGCCATCGACGCATCTGCGTTAACACTGAAGGACTGTACTGTATCATTTGCGTAAGGTACATAGATGAAACGTTTGTGTTCAAGTGGCTTTTCTTTTGAGCTATGAATCGACCCCGGGCGGCTGCATCCATCACTCCAACCTAGAATGAGGAGACGCAACTCAACGAGCTCCTGTATGGCGGTCTGTTCAAACTGATTGTTTATCGGGATTCCTGGTGGGGAAAAAGAGATTGAGTACATTATGGAACAATCCAGCCAATTTCCTACACAGGTTTTCGAACAACCAGCAATTACGTGTTCTTCCCCCACCGCACCTGGTGTTAAAGCAGGAAAACACCAAAGCAAGTGATCATTTCCTTCACTCTTAACTAGTGTTGGAAGTCTTCCATTTGCAGACATCTTAAACCAATAATTCTATTCTAGTTGTTGGATACATTCTGACACTATTTTCCATAATGATGTAAATTAAACTATTTTGGCACCTTGCAGAATGATTATTGTCCCAACTGTTGATGTTCACACCATAGCAAGCCCTCTGTGCCAAGGTCAAGCAGGTGCCCATCTGTATCAGGAATACAGAGGACCCCTAGGGCTTCATGGGTACTTACCAAACACATGCTGTGAACAAACAAGTGCATCTGTTTCATTAAAGCCATTAAATATGTAGTGCACGCCCTGCACTGAGACTCTGACTAGAAATATGTGGATGGGTGGATACCTCAACTCTGCCTTTAAAGAGTGTTACCCTCATTGCAGTAGATACGCAAGAACTCATCAATTCTTTATGTTTGCACTGCGATCTTGCGAAATATGGCACTACAAGGGAAACTGGTAGCGCCATATTTTCTTTCAGACTTTTAAATATTTAATGTGAACGTTTATAACAAATTGTCCCCCAAGGCCAATTACAGTTCTAAACCCTCTGAAGAAGGGGTTGAGATATCATAGTAAGTCATCAGCTACATTTCATGTGTCAGATTCGCGTGTGTTTTACGGTGACATTTAATGCTCGTTACTTATTGAAGAACACCAACAGAGCTGTGTGGCTGCGGATTACTTGAGGGGAAAGGTTATATAGTTATTAGGCTTAACTTAAAGCTAGTTTTAAGTTGAGGTTAAATGAGTTACTATGCATCCGGCAACTTAATAACTAACTTAATTAAAAGGAGGTTAAAGAGGCAATTTAACGCTTCTTTATGGTGGCATTTTGTGGCAGACGTGCAGCTGCGGATATGTTAAGTGTGATTGTTAAATGAGAGCTTTGGGAACTCCTGCGCCTTGCTTCATTGCACTGAGGAAGAAATCCATTAGTTTCTGTCTAATACCATGTGTGGTGTACACGTTATACTTTGAACCTGGCACACAGGTGTGCAGGTGTTACAGCTTACATCCTGTAGACTGAAAGCATGCTGTCGCTTCTACCTCTGTTGAAAGGTCAACTGCACTATAACCCTTCCCTGTAGAGATGACATATAAAACACTAATGTATGATGCCACAGTGTGCGTAGCCTTTACTTTTTCTGTTTTTCTGTTAAGCATATTCCCTCTGCATGTTGCTGAGCCATGGGCCACATATAGGGATGGACAGAGGTAGCCATCTGTTCAATTTGTGAAACAGCCAAACCAAAAACATAAATTATTTATGTATAAAGATTACCGATAAAACAACTGGTGAGGGACCCAACTGCGTCCCTATCACTGTTTTTTATTTGTATGTTTCTTTTGTATGCCGCTGCGATCTGGTGGCCTTTGTCAAATGGTTATATCCACCGCCAACGTATGAGTAGGAGCTGTCTGTGGTGCTAAATTGACTCAGAATGCCGTTTTTAACCGAAGGCTGTTACTGAATATATTGCTGCATGGAACCATGGGGGGGGGAACAGACGCCCTTCAACATGCATATCATCGGCTATTTTTCACACTCCTAAATAACAGCTGTGAAGAGAAAAGGGGTTATGTGTGTTCCATATTTATTTATAATAATTTCTATGTAATCATGATCAATGTTCCGATATCTACATAATCATCTCTATTTCATGATAGAGCTCTGGAATGAATCCATCCGGTGATTTGTTTAAATAAGCAGTTTGTTGGCCAGCCGTACTTAGAAAATGTGTGTCCTCCGTCAGGCTTGTAGGGTTGAGAGCGGGATGAGCGGGTGAAAGCGACAGTTTAGTGGGACAAAGGGCCCATGCATGTGTGAGTGCACATTTGTCATTTGGCCAGCATTCGGAGTGAAGAGTGGGGGGCGGGAGGATAGATGGGTTGATCAAGGTCTGGAGACGATGTGGCGGCCAACGCAAGGTTACCAAAACCTTGTGAAGACCGGAGAGGCAAAAGGAGTGTAAAACATCAGCAAACTGGCCATGGTCAATAACGCACTGAGATAAAGCAGTTGAGGGACTCGCTAAGGAGGCATCTTTCCCTTCTTCCCTGCAACTTGTCCAATGGACTGTATAAAATGCGGTATTGTACAATCGTCTGCTTAGTCTTTCCGGAAAAGAGCTTGTTTTATTCGAGTTACTTGTTGCTCCAATAAATCTCTGTGAATTGAAGGATCCAATCTCTCTTGTGTTCTGTGTCCACTGGATCTCACTAACAGGGACCTTCAGTGACAGACCACTGAAGGTTCCTGTTAGTGAGATCCAGTCTTACCTCACCACTTAGTCAGAAGTGACTTTCACAACTTTTACTTCAAGAAATCAACCACTGCACAGCCACATTGCTTTATTGGCCAATATGCTCGGTATTATGCTCAATATCTGGATGCTGCCCAGCCAACAACCCAAATGTTCCTCCCTATTGAAAGCTATTCTGGGTCAAATAATTTACCATCCTTCAATTCGAAACTGTTACATCGACCAAAGGGACGTTGCTTTTCTTAAGCGTGCCACGCATCTCCAGGATCTACAACCTGCTCTGGTCCACTGCTAATTACGCATGGATGGTATGCACATAACTGCTTTCCCTTTAATCAGCACCCTCGTGCACAGTGTATTTCGGACCCCCCCCCCCTGTCAGTGATGGAGAGGTAGATAGGAAAGTCTACAAACAACGACCTCCGGGGCATCAAGATTCTGATCAGATGTACCAACAAATCAATGCTACTGACATTTTCTTTTTTAATTCCTTTTCCAGACAATCATTTGTTCCATCCATTGTTATTCACACACACGCTGTAGTCTGAAAATGTGTGAGATTCAGAGAATTAAAAGGGCAAGTAGGTCAAGTTCAGGCGGATTTACGGTCAACTGCAGCTCTACTTATTCTCATGAAGTTTCCACCTCCTTGCTTGTCATCAGCACGCTGGGTCGCTTCAGAACAATAGCAATTTTCCTATTTAATACTGCAACGCGAATACAGTCTTTGCACTGCCGGAGAATCAAATGTATCTTCCGATGGCGCTCTCTCAAATCCATTGGCTCTCGTTGAAATAATCCATATTTGAGAATTCACATGCATTCATTCGTGCACTTCTTTTGGGGGAACTTTTAAACAACGCGTATGCGTGGCGTGCACGCGTTTGTTCTTACCTCACAGGGACTGACAGCCAACATGACAAGCAGGAACATGGCACTGAAGAGATGCATTCTAGTGGAAATGATAGCGTCCCAGCAGACAGCAGCTCTCCCACAACCCCGCCCGCTGCTCCTGTCCCTCACTGGGGCGGTTTCTTCACACACAGCGGGAGTCCTTCGATGCTGTGTCGGTTGAACACCACCAACCTCATCACCGGGAACGCACGGCAGCACCTCTTCGGCTCGGTTAGGCGTCTCTCGCAGAGCACCGGGGTCTCTGGCGGCGGGTCGCGGACGCAAAAGCGAAAGCAAAAAAAACGTCCCGATTTCTCAGCGCAGGAAAAAAAAAACTCCCGGTTGCTTTACTGGCGAAACGGTGACCTTCCGTCCTGCAAAAAGAACCGCGAGTGAGAGGCGAGGACCGAGCAAGAGAGAGAGAGAGAGAGAGAGGGGGAGAGTCGCAGAGGTTGGAAGGTGACTGCTGTGTTTGCAAGGTGCCGACGCTGGGAGCAGCATGTGTATGTGCCAGGAGCCCGGTCAGAGAAGTGGCACTCTTTGACGCAGCCAGCCTCGGCCGAGGGAGGGAGAGAGAGAGGGGGGTAGAAGGAGGGGGAGAGAGGGAGGGGAGAAACATTTGTTAGAGAGGGAAGGCTAGATAGGTGGGTAGATAAATAGATAGGTACATAAATAGGTAGGTAGGTAGATGCATTGCTTCCACTGCAACGACAGACGCAAAAGCGCTGACATTCAGCTCTTTCATCTGCAATGGCGTGTTGCTAATAAGCCCAGTGGGGAGAGATAACTGTCAACATAGTGACTGACAGCTCGAAGTTAGTAACATTAATTCAGCTCAGATGCATGTCCAATTATCAGAAGATGCCAAAACCAAGGGATTTTCTTGTTGTTTTGGGAATGACAAAAATGATTCTTGGTTGAAGATAATTGTCAGCTAACCGTGGTAATTAAATGATCAAGGGGCATTCTAAGAGGTATTTTCTAGGCCTCAGGGTTTATTTCTTTAGTGAACTGTTTCACAGTGATTGAATGGTTTGGGCTTGTGAGTCTGCTTTTCTGACAGCCTGAATTGGAAATGATAAATCAAACAGCCTCCGATGCCCGTTCTATCCATTAATTGATAGTGCTGAATGCCCTGTAATGATTGGCTGCAGCGTCAAAACAATACACGAAGAACACATGTGCTCCATTTCAAGCAGGTGATCAAAACATCCTATATTGGCAATATGTAAATGTGTTGTATTCGGAACCTCTTTAACATGGTATGGTTTAATCCAGCTACTTGCAGCTGACAGTGCTAATAGCACTAACTAAGGTTACAGAGGTATCGATTTTGTTTTAACAACGCTTTGCTGACCAGCTTTTGAACCGGGAAGTCTGAATCTGTCCTCAGCCTTATTTGTTAAGCTGTCACTCATGATTATACGCCTCTCAGTTGATGCCCCACCTCCTACGCCAGATCAGGGCCCAAAAAAATGATCCGAAAGTGACAATAAGATTTGAATCTGAAAATATTACATTTTCAACAGAATAATATAACACAGCAAATATTAAAAAAAAATATATAAGTGAAGAATAAAAAATATTTTAGTTTTAAAAAAGGAACTGTAAACTGTTAAAAGTATATTCAACCCGAAAATACTTTTTGTCCACTTATTTTATTTTTAATACATTGTTGTATGTTCAAGACCAAAAGTTACCTTTTTATTTGACCTTGATTTGGCGTCATATAGCTGCAGCCACCACAGAGTGGGTCCACAGGCTCTTTAAAAGTAGCTGACTTACATATCAAACTTTTCTGTTTTCCTGTTATCATGAAGCAGTCCTGACAGTATTTAGAGTTTATTAAAAAAAAAAGGAAAAAAAATAGAAAACAGGTTGCGACAGACAGAAAACAATTATATTACTTGAGGCTGTGTATTTGTTTTCATTTACAAAGCACACATAACATATTCACTATTTACTCCTCACTGTTCATTAAAAAATAGTTGCTCTAGTTACTATAGTAGTATCATATTCAGAAAGGACGTTGGACCCGGCCCTTTGGTGGCTTAGGGTCTTCCAGTACCTGCCCCTGGAGTTCAGCAGAGGGTTGACTTCCTCCACCCTGCTGCTGCCCCCAGTGGCTTGGTGCACACCTCCTCTGTTTTTTTCCTGTAGGAACAGGCCACAAGGAGTTTAAATAAGAAGCCTCAGCGGAGCAAGAGAGCAGTTGTGTATTAAAGAAAAAAAACAAGGAAAGAATTTGCAGGGATGGTTCCTGCCTTTCTGCTGTTTTCAACAAGGACCTTACTGTACCGTCCTGTGTGGTGCCTCTGCTCAGATTGGTACAGTAAAGCATGAGGCTGGAATTAATAGTGATGCACAGGGCAGCCGGGGTGAGTAAAAAATGATGTTGAGTCATTGCATGGGGGTCAGAGAGTGCTCATGTTTTTTAAGAGTCATGTTGAGGATATACAGTATACACTGTAATAACAGAGTCCTCCCTTCTTCTGGTTGCTCGCTTCCATCTGCATCTCCATCCCCTACAGTTACAGTGTAGAGGCTTAGGGCTTTGACGGAGCCGGGGGAAACGTGTCCGAGGTAAAAGCAAACAAAGCACAACCCATTTGTCAAAGATGCAACATTTTTCTCCTTTTTTTTTCCTCGATCAGCCAGAAGGCTGAGAGAAAAACAGACCTTCGGGGCTACTGCGTGTCCTCTCAGGCAGGAATTGTTTCTCCCTCTGTGACCTCACACGCAGATGCACTGTGTTGGGCAGATTAGACACTAAAATTACATTTTATTTAATTTACATTTCGGCCTCATTTTTCTCCTCTTCCTGATGGTTGCCTTTGTTTGTGTTAGTTTGTTTCATTGCATTTAATACTTTATGAATTAATCACAGGTGTTTGTGTTTCTCTCTTGAGTGTCTTTCTAAAATATATGAACATAGAGAGTAGATTTAACAACCGCCAATTGTGTATGCAGTAGTGTCGGTCTCCTGTGCAGGCACTAAATTATTGTTCATCAGCGCTAAAACACTGTCGTTTGGATGGGACTATTTGTGCTTAGCCACCATTGCCAAGCGTATCATTACATAGATTTTCAATTTCCAGGCGTTGATTCTCGTCAAATAACTGGGAAGTTTTAAACACTGAATGAATTGCGTTAGAGCAAAGGCGAAGAAAGAGGAGTTTAGTGTATTGTTCATGGTTATAGTGAATATTAGACAGGCAGACAAATCAGTCACTAGATTGTAGATCATCACAGACGGTCTAATTTCATTTTGTGAAGTTGGAGAACACGACTCTCTCTGTCTATCCATCTAGAAAACATTTTAGTCTGTCCTATAACAGGTCATTATGGTTGTTATTGATGTTCATAATGTTACTGCTTCTGTCGGTGCTCCAGAGTTATTATTCAATAGGACTGAAAGACCATATGCTCCAGAATGCCTACATTATATTCCAATGGGCACACCGGATAATGTTGAGCTGATGCAGCATACGGTCTTGGGCTTCAAAGTAATACTGATGAATAAACACACAGCAAATCTATCTCACACCAACATCCCTCACAACAACAGCAGCAACATGTCAATAAACAAACAGATGGAAGTGTTAACCCTGAAGCTCCTGTAAACATAGCGCTGATGCCTAATCCAATCTGAAAGCCTGGTGCAAACATTACAACTGCATGCATTTCTAATTCCGAAGCCATGCCTCCTAATGCATGTCTCGTTAATTAACGTGTATGTAAAGCATGAAACACCTCATTCACCAGTCCCAAACGTGCCATGTCTTTGTACACCCGAATGGATTTGCACAGCTCACTCTCACCCGTCTGCTGTGTCTTCCGCTTCCCTAATGAAAAGGCATTAAAAATCTATAGACATTAGGTTCAGACATCTGAGATGCTGGTCTTTCAGGGAAGAGCTTGCTGGACGTAGTCAACGTAGACCTCCCTTTATGACAGGATTTATTAAAAACTGTTATTATTCCAATTAAAATGTCAATTTTGTATTGCTCATCATCATCATCATCATTGCTCCTCTCAGATCAGTGTTAAGAAAAAGACAGCTCAGTAAATCACATCCCTGCGTCCTACAGATGAGGAAAAGGCTCAATTATTTTGAAATGGAATGACACCGAACAGTTAGTGACGGTGAGGAGGTTGGGTCAGAAGGTTAAGAGTGCTCAGTTGCCATAGCAATTCTCACCAAAGTGCCCAGAGGGGAAGGTGTGAAATCCTCAATGGGTGCCCGAAGATGGAATTAAACATTGCTTTTCACACCCTCTTGGGCTGTCTCACTTTACTACCTGCACGTAACCAGGACAACCAGGGGCAAGGACACCTCAGGTTTAGTTTAGTCTTTTTCCAATGAGGAGGCCCCGCCATGCTTCAAGTCTTTGCCTCGCCATAATTCAGCAAACATCATCAATCACTATCTAAATGAAGTGCATAGTCGTCTGCTCATGTCTCTGGATCAAAGAAAAGCAACAGCAAAGCATTGCCCCCCCCACAGAAGACATGAGGTGAGACGGGCAGGCACGTAAGGATGGTCGGCCAAAAGGTCCGTCTTCTAAGTGAAGCCTCCAGCCCACACATACAAACACAATCACACCTGCTCATCGCTTTATCTCAAACAATCACTCTCTCGCCTCCTACCGCCCCTCACGCGTCTCCCCCTCTATCCCTCTTCTGTTTGTTCATCCCTGCAGGAGCAGTACAAGATGCAGAGTTGTGCTGGGCGGCCGGTGTTTGTGTGTAATTGGATGAAAACATGATGCATAATGTGGAAGGAAAGAAACACGAGGCAACCAAAGTCCATGTCGCCTGCAGCAATCGAAAACAACAGCTTTTTGCTGTTGACATTTTTCCATTGTGTTTTTTTTCTGCTCCATTGAAACAGCGGCAGCTTCATGTTTTTTTCATGCATTTAGGGCTTTTCTTTCCTCCATTGCAGCCTATCTGTGATGTAAAGTTACCGAGCATCACAAGATTTCACTCTCCACTGCCACAAGAGTGAGTGTGTGTGCGGGTGAGTACATGAGTTTGTTTTTGTGTGCAGCACCTAGCGGTGTAGTTACGTCTGAAGTAGTGTAGAAGGAGAGCTTTGATGTAGGTCTATCAACCAGGAGTGCAACCAGGTTATCTCCATTAGGGATGTGCAGGTGTTCACTTTCATTGGAAATAACTTGCAACATGCTTCACACTGTCGCGGAACCACTAATGATTCTAATGCATCTCAGGAAACATGTGCAATGGAGGTCCTGTGTTTGAAAAGGAGAGGGAGAAGAAAGCAAAATGTCTTGTACAATGCTGAGATCTGAGCTTTAATGTACCTCAGACAGATACTAGAATGGGCACGGTGAAATGTAATAAAACAGTATTCTTACAGTGTAGCTGCACCTCTTCTTTCATATGGTGCCCAGAAGCCAATTCAGCTGAAAATTCCAGGCACAACTATCTATGGATGATATCTCCCAGCCGATGTGTTCATTGCTACCACGTCCCTGTTCTTCAATGGGACCAGTTCCGAC